CCATTCCGTTACAAATTCCCATGAATTAGTATATCCAATTCAAGGCAATGCTAATCAAATCCTTTAAGAATCAATTTCTTTATAAATTCACTTATGACTTATCAATTCGAACCAGATCTGTTGATTTCAACTGCTTCCACTACAAAGCCCTTTGACTTGGGAGATCTCACAATTGAGGTAAGCAGCATATTAATCGCTCATACCCATTTCTTTCAAATTGTGAATGCATCACAAAGTTTGGACTTTCGACATTTGATCAGTTAACCTACACATTACGCACCGTAACACATTTTATGGTTGCAGGCACCTGGTGAGCTTTCTGGTATGCTTTCTAAGTATATCTTCTTATGAGCCTCATTAAGGATTATAGCATTCACTGCGATATTCTATCATGGCATTAATTTAAGCTGGCAAGCTCTTATGTTGAAAGTAATTGGCTGGCCTCGAAAATTCAGATCATACAGCGAATTATTGGGGTTTCTCAATCTTTCCTTCTGCATCGAGGTAACTTTGAGAATTGTTGTTTTTCTTAAAAATCTGTTTAAGAGGCATATGCTTTGCCAATTTTCCTTCTCATTATTTTATTTTTCTCTATTTCTTTGGCATCGGTTGCATTGTAGCAGATTTGATTTCCAGTCACTGGTTTATTTGTTACTAGATACTTCCTGAGTTAGTGAAAAATTAACTGGTTTCTTTGTTACTAGTATTTGGTTTTGAGAATCATTGCAATTAGAAATATCACTTGCATGTTTTGAGTATATGTTATGTAGAAGATCTATCACAGAGAAGTATCCCAGGAGCAATTATTTGTTCCTAACCATTCTTTATGCATCAAGGTTTGCAATCAGGAGTAACTACGAGTAGTTGCTTGCTTTTGGGTTTATGTTATGTAGAACAGTTCAAATAACTCATCTGCCCACTTAGGAGGCGATGTGACTCGAGGAACAAGTTCAAGTTGGAGTTTTGTGAAGTTGTTCTGTATGGCATCAGCTTTACTGGTAAGTTGGTCTGCCTTAAATATTTCTCCATACCCAAATTATAAGTTTCATATTGCATTGGTGACTGACCTTAAAACCGCTAACAGGTCGTCATCAAATAAGCACAACAATAGCAGGAAGAAGGGTAGAAAGCATCTCTAATACAGTGAAATATAATTCTGGTATGCTTGCTCTCTAGCTTTTGTGAGTCTTAATTAAGCATTGTTGGGCTTATGTTTTACAGAACAACTCTATACATTGAGGAGAATGTGGTCATGACTAATGATATTTCACGTGGTAATGCAGGACTGGATGGTGACAACTAGAGTGCTTTTGCCAAAACTGACTTCACAATGCAGGAGAATGGGTGTTGAAGAGAGTATATGAACCCTCTGTGCCCAAGCGTTGACACTTCTGTGTTAAGGCCCAGCCCACCAGTTGAGTTGTTGGTTCCAAACACTCCCAATGTACCTATGTAACTCGTGGTTTTAAGTAGCTAGAACCTAGGGGTCAAAGAGGTTGAGCGATGCTCCGTCCTGAGAGACTAGGGTTTTGGTGATATGGGTCTAGATGATTGTAATCCTCCGTTGCTACTTGAAGATGACTGCGTACTTTTATTTATTTATTTTTTAACAAACTAGAAAAAAGATGACTGTACTGTTGTTATTATTATAGTGGATATTTTGATCAAGGCAAAGTGCCGTCGTTTTTCTCAATTTGGGTTTTCCATGTAAAAACCTTGGTGTTCTTAATTGCTTTTGCTGTTAGATCCCTGTAATTGATTGCACAACGGTAGAAAAATTGATTCTGGGTATTCTGCTATGATTCCCAACAGCCATGTCCTGTCGCGGTCCCATTCATGAAAATTGAACACCATCTCGTGTTCAAGTTTCAGGTCCACATCAAATGGAAATATTGGAGTGTTGGATATGGATTCTCACATTGCATGAAATTTAGATGCTACTTATCATGCTTTATGATAGAACAAGTAAATAAAGTCCAAAACTCTGAATCAAACAAACTGCTGAAACACTGGTATTATTGTTCATATATCTCAAGCAAAATCTAACGGGTGATACTTTAGTCCATAGTCAGAGTCCAAGATTTACCTTCTAAAAAGCATTCAAGCTTCACTTACTGAAGCTGCATTTTTCATGCTTCTTTGTGAATTACGGTTTGATCACAAGAACTTCACTCCTACGTACACAACCAGAGTTTGCCAGCAAGGACAAGAAGAAAGTTCATTCTATAGGGAGTCCCTTTTCTGTCTCATCTTGTATCCATCCTTAATGTCTCGTATTCTTTTCCTTGCTGTTCCATAACACTGCACATCAAGCATATGTTCATATCCTAGTTCAAGATGAAAAAAAAAATCTTGTAAAACATTCCTGCTTATTTTCCAAAAAAGAAAAATTAATATAGTCAGCTTTTGCATATCGGATTGTCTCAATGAAAGATTGAATCGACATACACATATAAATTCAAAAGGGATCTCAATACTCACAATTTCATCCCTAGAAACTAGCTTTTGTATTGTTCAGAAACCGCCCGGACAAGCTTATCCCCTAATTGGAAATTTGGAATTTCTTGTCAAATCCCCAACCAGGGTTGCTCTGCATTGTGATGTTAACAAGTGATAGTAAACATTTCGTGCATCATTCAAAGCACACAATTTTACTATCATAAAAAATATCATCGTGGTAAGGAGTATCTTTAATTTGGTACTAATCCAGCCTCTTTGAAAAACCAGAAACATGATCACATGAGAAAGGAAACCGAAATGGCAAACAGATACAGAAACATGACAAAGAAGCGTAACAGAAGAACAAGAAACGAGATGCGCTTGTATGGTACAACATACATATTAACAAACTCCAGTTGAATAAGAAACAAAAAAAAAAAAAAAAAAAAAAAAAAACAAACAAACAAACTCCAATTTAATGGAATGTTCCAAAGTTCCGAGCACAAAAGAACAAATTATACATGTAGTGCACTTGTAAGTAAGGTAAGTTTGAGATCACGAGGATTACAGATGAGAGTGACACTGACCTGAAGAGGAAGAACTGTACAATTAGCAAAGTGCATCACAGAAGCAGGCGCACTATTAGGAACAGTTTTCGCAACACTTTCAAGCTCCTCTGCCGCGACCACTGCCAGAGGTAGAGAAAGTGGACGATGATTGGGGTAGAATAGGGGGTTTTGGTCACCAACCGAACTCAAAGCTCCAAACTTTGAAACGAGAGTTAAGGATTTTGCAGAAAGGAAGGAAATTTCCAGCTGGGGTTTTTTGGATGTGTACCAGACCACAAACGGCGTCGTAACATAGTCACTGTGAAAGAAGGAATCCTATTTTTGTTTCCATTTTTAGGAAAAAAAAATGATAAAGAAAAAAGATAAATTAAAAAAAAAAAATCCCCGAAACAATTTGCTCATTAATATTGTATATACCAGCTGAAATTAACCTTCCATTGTAAATCCTGTCTAATTCTGATTCTGAAGGGTGAGTTTCTCTTGTAGGGAGAGAAGGAGATCTGCTTTCAGCTTCTCTCTTTCCAACTTTCTC